GTCTTCATAATGAACATAAATATGATTCTCTTCTTCTATGCCAAAGTCTACAACACATTTGGCTGCGTATGATTCATCCCAACTCATGAATGCTTCAAACAGATACTCATGGCCTTCAAATGACAGAAACTTCCCACTTTCAATATCTTCTTAATATTTGTAGATTGACTCGGTGTTTTTTATGTCATCTACTAAATATTCTTTCATCTCGTTAGGCGCCACAATTGTCGTGTTACCAACATGAAACATGACAGGAGGATTTTCTTTCCTTTTTATAAAATCATTAAGATATTGTGAAATATAGAAAAATCCCAGTGCTCTGGTTTTAGTTGGTTTTAAACAGTCTTCTAACGAATTAGTATGGGATCTTTGCAACACCTTACTTTCCCAAACACTATCAAGTAATGCGGTGGACTAACTTTTCCTTCTTTAACTTCGATATTAGCACATTGCACCCTTGCTCCTAGCTGAAAGTCTTCTTTTTTGTCATTACAATATTTCCGGACCTTGTTGAATGCGTACTCTTGGAAGTTTGCAAGTCTTGGAAAAAAAGAGTTATAAGGAGTAGGGAATTAATAGAGATCATGTACCATTCCATAATCCCAAGCCTTGTAATGTATACTAATGAATGGAGCATTTTGATTAAGAGGATATGGGTAGATTCGCAATGATGCAACTTTAGAGTTTTTGGGAAACTCTCTTCTTTCTCCCCATAGATCTCGAAGATCAAAGAATTTACTGGACCTTATTACCACCAACTCGTACCATTCTTATTTTGTTTAATATTATATTTCGTCAATCAGGAATTAGCTGAAATAACATAATTGTTACTTCGAACATCAATAACCTTTGGACTGCACGATGGCAACCCTTGATTAAACCGTCTCGTGAACGTTGTTTCGTTGATATTAGGGGTGTTCAAATCCGGGTAACCGGGTACTGTTTAATATTATATTTCGTAAATCAGGAATGAGTTGAAATAACATAATTGTTACTTCGAACATCAATAACCTTTGGACTGCACGATGGCAACCCTTGATTAAACCATCTCGTGAACGTTGTTTCGCTGATATTAGGGGTGTTCAAATCCTCGGGTAGTTGGAAACTCGTCCCATGTCCCGACCCGAGAAAACCGGGTACCCGGGTTTCGGGTATCCGATTTTCTCGGGTCGGGTCAATGGGTACCCGAATTAGTTAGATGATAATTTACTGCCAAAAGTGAAAATTGATAATCAATGTAGTAAAAGGTATTTTGTAAAAAAAAAAAAAAAAAAATCCAATTTACTTTATATTATTGTGAAACAACACTAAATACGAAGTATCAAATTAGTGGAGAAAACAAATACCAAATTAATAATAGATATAACATAAAAACAAAAAAAAGAAAAAAAAAAGACCATTGGTTTACTGTAACCAGTGGCGGACCCAGGAATTTCCGACTGGTGAGTCACAATCGATAATCAAATATGTAAAAAAAAAATTTTACCAAACAACCAAATAATAGTACTAAAAAATACATCTAAATATTCAAACAGTACAAAATACAACCAAATGTTCATATAATACTACAAAAGACAATTAAATAGTAATGCAAACTTATTACAATATTTCTCGACGAGTTTTCATGTTTTGATATCGATTTATGATATCTTCCATGCTAACATTCAAAAACAAATCATTCTCCAAATAAGTAATTAAACAATCATTCAACATTTGATCTCCCATGCTATTTCGTAGTTTGTCTTTCACTTGCTTCATGCCAGAAACAACACCAACTTCAAAAGTAAATAGACCCTATCATGAGTTTCAGACAATCCCGTTTCAACCAATTTGATTGAAAGTTCACTAAGACCCTTCAAATTCCAAAACCTTTCATCTCCTCTAACAGAACAAATGTAACTCTCAAGTGTATGACCAAAGACTATTTATGAACTTGGAAATTCATTAGGATAGAATTTTGCAACCTTAATCAATTTTTCCTTATCAAACTTAGAAAAACGATCCACAGGACTCAAACAAGACATACACACAAGTAGTTCTTTAGTTATTTCGGGAAATCGATTTTCAAGTTCTTGCAATTGAAGATCAATGACACCAAAAAAAACTTCAACTAATAATTAACAAGCTAATAAACACCCTAAATAAACACTGACCACAATTCACATAATCGCATGATCAAAAAGGTTCAAATTTCATCAAAAAGACAAAAACCCAACAACATTAACAAAAGGTTCAAAGTTTACCAAACAAACAACAACAAAATCAACCAAAGTTTAATAGAATTAACTAATTAGACTGAATTAAATTGAAGATTAGAATTTTAAACTAAAAATTAGAAATCAACTTACTAGCAAAATGAGAATAGGAGATTAGAATTTTGAAGAAGCGACGAAGCGAAGAGCGGTGAGCACAGAGGACAGAGCAAGCGAGCAGCAGCCAGCAGCACAGCCAGCACTGGAGGCGTGAGCAAACTAGCGAAGAGCACTGTCAAACATTTCAGAGACTTTGGGTTATTGCAACTTTTCCAAGTCGTCTCATAATCACAATTCACAAATTCACAATAACTGTCAAACTTTGAAGTTTCAAACGAGAAACATTTTGCCACTGTCATAATCACAAATTCACAATTTTACAAATTCACAAGAGCACTGTCAAACTGTTTCCAAGTCGTCTCATAATCACAATTCACAAGAGCACTGTCAAACTTTTCCAAGTCGTCTCATAATCACAATTCACAAATTCACAATTTTGCCACGACGGTGTTACAATGTTACTTGATAATTGACATTCCTTTAGATATTAAGTGCATCGTTTTTCTCAATTGAATTTTTTTAGTATTTGAAATCCCTAATTCAGATAATGCAAAATTCTCTGAAATTGAGTTGATTATTGAAAAATTAGGGTTCAAATTTAGTATTACTAAATCATAACTAACAAGTAATATGAACAATTAAATAAATAAATAAAAAAAAAGCCGAAAGATGAGTAGATGACTAACCTGAATTTATCTAGCTGTGCCATCGCTTCAGTTCAGCAAAAATGGTGAATTGCAGCTTTCTTCTTTCAGTGTTCAGCAAAAAAAGCAAGGGCCCAATCCATTTCAATAAAGAGGAAGATGAAGCGAAGAGGAACTGAGGAAGATGCGAAGAGGAAGATGAAGCGAAGAGGAACTGAGGAAGAGGCGAAGAGGAAAATGCGAAGAGGAAGAGGCGAACTCAGAAGTTAGAATTTTTTTATTTTTTTTTTTTTAAAAAAAAAAACTTAAAATTTTTTTTGGGCCCTGGTGAGTCATTTGACCCACCAGGCACAAGGCCCAGTCCGCCACTGACTGTAACATGCATTCATATCATGAAAATGAAGTGGTGCAAGAAATTTAAAGTGGAACGCTAATGAATTTGAAGTGGCCCAACTTTCTGAAACTAAGTGAAATAGATCAACGGCTTGAATCACGAGATCCATTGAAGAATTGAATCTGCTGCATCTGTCAATTTGTCATCTAGTCGAGATCGTCGTTGATGTTGTTGGTTAAAATCTTTTGAGAAGATGAACAACACAACACTTTATCTCTCTTCTTTGAACCATGAGGCAAGATCGAGAGAAAGAAATTGGAGAATGTGAGATGAATATGGAGAATTAAAGAGAGGAAAGGAGAGGAAAGAGAGAGGAGAGAGAGTCAGAGAGGAGAGGGATGTAGTAAACGACTACAAAAAAAGGGGAATAGGTGAAAACAAATAAACCCTAACTACATAAGAGTCCATGAAAAGAAAAAATATATTCTGAAAAAACAATTAACCGGGATTTTGGGTACCCACCAGCCAAATATACTGACCTATGTCCCGACCCGGGAGATACACAAGTTTCTCGGGTCGGGTCCCCGACTCGAAGAATTGATTTTTTTTTAAAAAAATCTGACTATTTTATTTTGGGTCATCGAGGCATCGGATCGGGTCAGTCGGGTCGAGTATTTTTGAACACCCCTAGCTGATATGACCAAGCCTTGCATTAAGGCCCAACTGTAGGGTGAAACCCGCTCCATTGCTTTTTCGGTTTCATCAATGAGAGTTTTCCTCTCTACATCCATCTTTTGAAGTTGGTATGCAGGAGGTTTTTGTGTAGTCTTGAGCTTCTTGGACGACATTAGCTAATTCTCTGGTCAAGCTATTTGCCAGCGAATTCTTTGTTCCCTGTATATGCTCAACATTAAAAGAGAATTGGTTAAGCCATAATTGCCAACGCAGGAGTCTCCCTTGCGCGTGCAAATTAGACAAATCCTTTTTAACAAAACCGAGTATGCCTTTGCAATCTGTTCTTATTAAGAATTGTTTAGGGGCTAAGAAGATTAAGAACTTCTCGATCCCTCGAATGACTGCAAGGATTCCTTTTGCATTGTGGGATAATTTAAGTGAGCTTTACTAAAACTTCCACTGCTATATCTGCAAAGTCTTTCTCCTTCTTTGATTTTTAACACAGCACTCCAGTGCTCATTACTAGCATCTGTTTCAAGGGTTAAATCATCTTCACTAGTAGGTAGTGTTAGTACACACTAGTAGGAAAAATGTTTTTTGTAACTGACGAAATTGACTTTTTATAACTGGCATTGTTGGTTGCGATGCCACCGTTACAATTAGTGAAAATTATTTGTAACCGGCTAATGTTAGTTACAAATAATATACTATTCGTAACTGGCTTAACCTAACGCCAGTTACAAATATCTATTTTCCAAGTTAGAAAGCATACTATTCGTAACTAGCATTAAGTTACGCCGGTTACAAATAGGGTTTTTTTGTAACTAGCATAACTTAACGCCGGTTACGAATAGCCTTCTATATTATTAAAAAAAATGGCAGTAGTAGCAAACACCCCTACTGCCACCACTACAGTGCATTTTTTTGTACGTGAAGCACTATAATTTATTTATCAACTTTATATTAAATACAATAATGATCATCAATCTGAACAATATAAGGCCCAAGTTAAATGACATCTATATATAAATCTTCTAATAATAATATAGAAAATGATATATATACTTAATCTTGTAAATAAATTACAAACATGTCTCTCATAGGAGTCATACAAACAAACAAGTGAAATACTATGATGTTCCCAATAAACTTTAAAATTTGACTGAACAATTGATTCACCATAAGAAACATGTCACCACTCCATAGTTTGTTGATATACTAAATAGTATTGGTCCTTCAAAACCACTAGCTTGAATCTGTAGGCAAATAATCAAATTCAAGTCACTTTAACGTTATCATCATACAATATGCACTTCAACATATATTGAAGTAGAATACTTATATCTTGTAAATTCAACTTTCTGCCTGTTGAAATTATTAATTCTTATCATACTGACAACCAAGTAAAATATAACTTAAAATGCGCAAAGTTTCCCAGTAAATAAAAATAAAAATTAAAAACAATTTTAAAATGAATATTATAAGTAAGTTTCTAAACCAGTTAGGATATATCTCCCATTGTCACTCCTTGTAGTTGGATAATCACAGTAGGATACGTTGGGATTGGTATAACCTTCACAAAAGCTGCTAACTGCTTTCACTGCACAAACATATCAAAAAAAAAAAAAGTTGTAGTGACTCACCGAAATGTGAAACATACCAGCATGGAAATTTGCATTCTTTTTTTTTTCTTCTTCTTTTTCTGACAGTTACTCGTGTTGTATATTACCACAAAGAAATTGAAGGAAGAATGACAACAATTTACCTCTACACTAATTAAGAAGGCAAACAAAAGAAGAGCAGAGGCTTCATTGTCATTTAAACTTAGAGAAAAAAAAAAAGATTTCATCAAATCATCATTAGCAGCATTGGAAAAAAAAAAAAAAAAAAAAAAAAAACCAAAACAGAGAAGAGGGCAGCCTGAATATCATTATGACAAATTATTAACAACAAAAAATTCTAAATGCTGAGTTTTTTAATCCCTAAAAAAATGTTCATTAAGAGTCTACAGAATTATTCACCACCATCAATTTGTGTTCTAGCAAATCAAATTATTCATTTCAAAGATCTATAATGAATTTATTATATACGTACACCCAGGTGCACCATACACCCATATGTATTTTGTTCTCATTTTGTCATTTTGATGATTGTTTTTCATTTAATCATCAAATGAAGAGCAAAAACTAACCTTGAGTTAGTTGGGTGTACGATGCACCCGAGAGTATACAAATCAGAGTTCAAAGCAAAGTCCCTAATTTTACCCCTATAGGCATACAAATTTTATCCCATAATCCTTAAATGTTAAACAACATTAAGAAACATAACTAACGTACCCCAACTTGTAGTTCATTGTAATGAAAGTCCAACCGATAATACATTATAACAAGAGTTTGGCAAGGTAGAAACTACATAAATATTCCCTAAAACCTGAAGATAGACAAAAGAAATAAATAAATAAATAATAGATGAATATAGAGCTTGGATATTTAAGGTATATGAGCAAAATCTAATGTTGCAAATTGATAATGCAATCAACCTTCATGTAAAGCACTATTTGATAACCGGTATACGAGGAAATCAAGGCAACATTTTTATGCATCATGTATCATACAATACCCTTTTTCAAATTTCATTTTGAAATCCTACTAACTTGCAAATAGCAAATTCCTCAGCCTGATTTTCTTATTGTATTCATTCTTAGTGCTAAACTAGATAGAATATATACACTCCACTAACTTGGAAACACCCTTAACCAACAAAAATAATCAAATATAATGGTATAGCCACTTGGAAAAAAGAATTTAATTGCACTTTAAAAGTATATTAATAGACAAGATTACACATGAAATGACATTTCTCTTTACCAAATTTCTAGTTAGTAACAAATTAAATATATCCAATTCATTAGCAATCTTTAAAAATAATATATTAATCAATTTTCCAATATTTAATCACGAATTGATCAAGAGACATTCAAATGCAAGTCATAAAACTTAGATTAATCAAATACCCATGTCACAAAAAGGAAAAAACAAGTAAAACCAAATTAAAAATCATAAAAAAAAAATGCACAAAAACCATAAATATGAAATATAATTGAAAACATAAAGCATGCAATTAAAGAATTAAAGGGGTTGAGAGAGATTCGTCTACTATATGATTTTTCGTTCAAGGTAGTGTTTTCTCCATTGTCTAATTCATCACCCAATCTAGAGCAAGAAAGCAAACAATTGAGTAAACCAGGAAATATAAAAACAAAATTCAACAATAACACAATCATGTCAAAAATACCAGCAATACAAGCAAATAAATATTGGCAACATGAAAAAAAAAGGGTCACGAATTTAACAAGGTCTAATTAAACAAGTGGTCTGTGTGGTCGGGTAATTGTTTCTGCAAAAAAGCAAAGCACAGACGGAGGGTCTGATTGAAGTATTGAACCAGTGGTTTCGTATAATCGGCCAAACTTTGATTTTACCTTGTTCGTCGCCAAAATTTGTCCTATGCATTCAAAATTTGGCCAAAATTTATACTACATTCAAACACTAATAACAACATAAATAAGCAAATTTCAAAAGTCCAATGGAGTCAAATTAGACTATACCAATTTCTTGTTATAGGTGTTCATGCTCTTTTCATAATCAGCCTTCCTCTTCTCTGCTTTCTGGATGTAATAAGGAGCCTTCTTCTGTAATCAATTACAAACAATAATTAGTTCTAAATCGAATCACATATAAATTAAGTCAACCCAGCAGAGAATTATGACTCCTTACATGACTTTCGTATGTGACTTAGCACCATCTACCATGTCAGGTTCATGTTAAAATCTTCAGAATTATGACTAACCAATCAAATTATATAAGATTAAGAAAAGATGATGCAGGCAGCTTCCACACCCACTCCTCTTTATATACCTTATGACAGAGATTGTGAATAGCTGAAAGTCTGAAACTTTCTTCACACGATTTCTTGCATCATCTTCGGCCAACATTCTAATACAGAGTGCCAATTCAATGCACTGATGCACAACAACTCTTCAACCAAGTAATCCAATTGATAGTTCACAATCTATAATTATACATAAATAGAGATAAAATCATATGATACTAATCTAACATACAATAGCTAAAATACAAATGTATTAAAAAAAAATCAAATATTTGTTTCTTAATTTGAACTATTTCAATTGCATAATTGAATTTTTCATATCTACACTCAACCAGAACAATATAAAGCGATCAAAACATTTCAACCATAAAAAAATATCAGTGAAATAGCAATTGTACCTTAGATGACACTACTTGACAAAGAATTTCTCCATTGCCTCACCTTAATTTTAACAATCAATTGAATAAGATCTCACCTTCGTAAATCCCTTTCTTTGAGGACCTAATATGGAGATGCTTCAGAAACTTCAAGGCTTCACCACCACAGCGTACTCTGAATTTTATTGAGAAATCAAAAACCCCTTATCCTTTTAAAAGTATAAGCCGTAAACCCAAAATATCCAAAATTCCCTTTTAAAACCCAAAAAAAATCCATATTTTCATTTTTACAAACCCTAAAAACACATTAATAGCAGACCAATTGAAGTATTAAACATCAATACAATTCATTGGATCAGAGGAAAGATTGAGGCATGATATCAAATTACTTTGATTATTCTTTCACCCATTAAAATTCCCAAATTTTGAAGAAATCGAAGCTGACCTAAATAACCCATAAGACTTAAATTGATTGCAAAATAAAGGAGATGAACTGGAATTAATTCTTTGGGCAGGAGATTGAACAGGGGTTTTAGGCAATAATCTGGAATTAAAGCTTCTAAAAGTACTGTGAACAAACCTTGATCTTCTGTACCATGACGCCATGATTTTAGGGGAAGAACTCATGCACCTCGTCCAAAACCACCAACAACAACAACTATATGCTCTTCCTCACAATCTCTTCTATCCTTGACCTCCTTCTCACACTCCTTCTCTTCATCCTGCCGTCGCCGCCGTCGGACCCCACCACAACCAATTAAAATTCCAATTGCCCTAACTGTAGAAATTCGGCATTGAATTAGAGAAGGAACGTAAACTTGACTACTTGAGGGTTGAGAATGAATAAGGGTCTGTTCTCTTACGTTGAAATTCAATTCAGTTCAGTTCAGTACAGTTCAGTTTAGCTCAGTTCAGTTCAGTTCAGCTCAGCTCAGTTCAGTTCAGTTCAGCTCAGCTCCTAATTTCCTTCTCTTATAAAATATTCATTTCAGTTCAGTTCAGTTCAGTTTAGCTCAGTTCAGTTCAGTTCAGTTCAGCTCAGCTCCTAATTTCCTTCTCATATAAAATATTCATTTCAGTTCAGTTCAGTTCAGTTTAGTTCAATTCAGTTCAGCTCAATTCAGTTCAGTTCAGTTCAGTTCAGTTCGGTTCAGCTCAATTCAGTTCAGTTCAGTTCAGTTCAGCTCAGCTGAGTTCAGTCAATAAGAATAGGCCCTAAATTGGGGTTGGTCCACAACACAATTTAACGCACAATAAAAAGGCAATGGCAAAATGGTAAGCACACTATTCATTTTCAATAGTAATTTTTTTTTAATTATTTACAACTACTATTTATAATCTAAAGCACTAACTTCTTAATATTTGTAACTGACGTTTGTAAGTTAGTTACAAAATTTTTTGTCAAAGTTTCTTTGACTTAATATTTGTAACTGGCGTTTGTATACTAGTTACAAACGCTTTGGTCAAAGTTTATTTGACCTAATATTTGTAACCGACGTTTGTAAGCTAGTTATAAACTTTTTAGTCAAAGTTTCTTTGACTTAACATTTGTAACTGGCATTTATTTAGCTAGTTACTAATAAAACTTCAAACAATGATAAACCACATATTAGTAACCGACATTTACTACGTCGGTTACTAATGTCATGAAATTTGTAACTGGCATTATCTTAGTCGGTTACTATTGATGCTTTCGTAACTAGCATAACATACGCCAGTTACTAAAAGGGAGTTACAAATAGCATTTTTTCTACTAGTGACAGGAAGATCTTTACACATAGCTTTTAAATCTTGAACAATTTTGGAATCACTTTCCTTTTAGTTCCAAGTTATTTCTTTCTTGAGTTTTTGTTGTAATGGCTTTATTAATAGAGCAAGATTTTCTATGAAATCAGAAGCATAGGTTAAACATCCTAGAAATCTTTCTAGTTGTTTTCTATCTTTAATTTTATCTGGAAATTTTTCAATCTTTTCTAGAATATGTTTTTGCAGTATTATATGTCCTGCTTTAATTTCTAATCCAAGAAACTCAATTTCTTGTTTAGCATAAACACACTTATCTTTTCCAAGGATTATACCATGCTCTGCATATTTTTAAGTTACTGCTTTAAGATCATTCTTATGTTGTTCTAAATCTTTTGAGAATATTAGAATATCATCTATATAGACCAAACAACAATGTTGAAGTTCTCTAAAATATTCTCCATTCTTCTCTGAAATATTTGTGGAGCATTTTAATCCAAAAGGCATTACTAGCCATTCATAATGCCTTTGAAAGGCACTAAATGCAGTTAATGGAATGTTTTCTTCTTCCATTTTAATTTGCCAGTAGCCACTCTTACAACCCATTTTAGAAAACCATGTGTCTCCTTGTATTCTATTAAATAACACTGTTTTATTTGGAATGTATCCATAAAAAACAGTATTATCATTTAGCTGCTTATAAATAATGACAATTCTAGCTTTACCTCTTTTTTCTTCTGCATGATTTCTTACCATGAATGTTGGACTATTATGAGGACTTTTGCTATTCCTAATCAACTTTTTATTAAGCAATTCTTTTATTTGTTCATCAAACTCCTGAATATCTTAGTAGGTATAGACCATTTGTCTTACTTTAATAATCTTATTAGGATTTGTTAAAGTTATCTTAGCAAATGCCTTATCCTTTTCCCAATGTTCTAAAGGATTTGTTGAATATAATTTTTCAGATAACTTTTCTTGCTGCTTATTTATCTGATCTATTAATGATGAATCACACTCAGAAATTCTAAGTGCAACCTCTCGTTGTGTAGAAGTAACCCTATCACCACGCTGGCTGCGCGTAAATTCCATAGTCTGATGAGTATAAGCCTTTGTGATTTTTTGTATAGGAACAGAATGCCCATTAATAGTAAAGATTATTTGATCAATAGTTTGAGTGCATGGAGATTATAATCTTTGAAAATCATTTCCTATTATCACATCATGTCTAGGTTGATCAGTTGCCCATAAAATAGGAATAACACATTGAATTCCTCCAATTCTATTGGTAATTCTTCAATTATTTCAGTATGCATCATGACACTATTATTAGCAATTCTAACTTGCATAGGATTTTTAGCCTTTTTCCACAAGAATTTTGGAAATAATGTCTTCTTTCCAAAACATGTAGAACAACCACTATCAATATATGCACATAATTTATATTTATTATTTGCATATATCAATTGGAATATAAATGTTATTAGGATTAGTACTAGATATTTCATTACAAGCTTCCATTTACATATTAACTTCATCTTCATATACTGGTTCACTCACAGTTTTGGTTTTATATCCAATTACCTTTCTTTTATCAATAGGATTATTTGGATCTTCATTTAACTCTAAATTAGAACATGACCCCATATCAATGTTATGCCTTGCCGGTTGTTTTAAGGCTTTTTTACTTTCATATTTTTCATTTAGTTTCTTTAGCAGAACTAATATTTCTTCTTCATCCTCTTCTGGCTTTTCATCACATTGTTTCTTCATTCTTATTATTGTTGAATTTTGTCTACTTAGACTTGGTGTTCTAAGACTTAGATTTCTCTGTGTTTTAGGTTTTGTATTCATTTTAATTTGAAGTAATCCTGATTCATCAATTAACAGCTTACTTGATCTATTACTAACTACAGGGTTCATACAGAACTTCTCCCAAGTTTTTTCAATTTCAATTTCATTAGGATTTACTTTTATAGGTGTAATTTTCTTCTTAGGACCTCCTCCTTGCTCATATTTCTGAGCATCGACTATTTGTTTCTTAAAAGATGAGTCTATAGTGTTTACCAACTTATAAACCACCTTCCATCTTAATTGTATGGGTCGTGTTCCTTTATGCATTTTCACTCCTTCTGTTAATAGCTTGATAGCTAAAAACCTTGAGGCAAATGAATCCTATAAGCTCACATAATATCTTGGTTCACATATATAGCTTACTGTTCCTTGACTTAAGTTACATGTGATACCACTAATTATTTTATCATAAAATTCTTTATGTCTAATATCACAAATAAAACTCAAACATTTAACATCCTTGCCAAAATCTTGTAAAGGAGTTATGTATACTCGTACTGCACCAATACAAATATAGCTATAATTTCCTTTTTCTTTATGTTTTTTAATACTTTTCCAGTTTATGATATTAATTTCGGCTGCTTTTTGTTCACAATCTTCGATTACTATGCTTCCTTCCATTTCTTCGCATACATATTTAGTTCTAGTTTTAAAGAAAGAAGTTTTAAATATTTTATCCTTAGTAATCTGGGGAAATTATTCCAGCTTTCTTTGTTTACTTGATCTAGGTCATTATCTTCAAATGAATACTCAGCTCTTTTTAGTTGACCTATCATCATTTTGCTTTTATCTTCCTCATTGTCATATGACTCTGAATTTTCTAACTCTTCTCCTTCCATCATATTATTAATTTCTTCATAATTTTCATCTTCAAACTCATCACTAGCTTCTGGTTCTTCATTATGCTCATTTTCCTCTTCTGTGCTTTCTACTATTCCTTTATTATTGCTTAAAGCCAATTCTAAAACCTCGTCTTCTGGTATTTCTATGTAATCCCAACTTCCTAAGGATTCCATTAGTTTATGATTAGCTTTCTTACATTCATTAGCATAATGTCCTAATTCTCCACAAGACCAACACTTACACGTCTTCTTTTTCTCAGGACAATATGTTGCCTTTTTGAAAAACCTACTTGGTTTTCTATATTTATGTTTATAGTATTTTTTCTTATAGGTTTCACCTCTTGATCGGTCAAATTTATTTTTCTTATAATTCCTTCTTTTATTATACTACCTCTGTTACATATTAGTTGTAACTTTGAAATATTTTATATCTCACAAATAATACCCCAAAGTTGCAACTAATAACTAACGGAGGTAGTAGTTTTTTCTTTCACATCCACAGTTATTTGGGAAATCCCTATAAGTGATCGAGAAACTGTCTTTTCATTTGTTGAGTTCCTGCAATCTCTCTACATTTCTTTTCAATCCATTTTCTTAGAAAAGCAATCCTATTACCTAGGGCATCCCTAGCTAAGAATTTATCTCTCCATTCTTGATATTTTTCACTAATTTCTTCGTTAAGGGGACTGGGTAATTTGTCATAGAACATTCCAAGATTTGTTTCATTTTCACCAATTTTATAACACTAGTACAAAACTAACCTCAAGTAACACCCAAAAAGTGTTACACAAGGTGGTAAAAGTGTTATTATAGACAATAGGTAACATTTTATTGGGTGATACATCCGCCCATGTTACCTAAGGTCTTATGTAACACTTTGGGTAACGTACGGTAACACTTTCAAGAGTGTTATTATAAACCCTTTTATGTATCACTTTTTACATTTTTAGTATCATTTTTAAAATGTTACTTTTTATTTCTTATGTAACACTTACTTATCTTTAGTAACATTTTTTAATTATATAGTATCACTTTATCCAACATTATGTATCATTTTTTCGAACTAATGTAACACTTTGTTGATTATTAGGTAACATTTTTCAATCATGGTTTGACATATAGTAGCACTCTATTCGATATTATATATCACTTTTTACAAAGTAATGTAACACTTTATAGATTAATAGGTAACATTTATTATTATTATTATTATTATTATTATTATTAATAATAAAATTATTATTATTATTGTTATTATTATTATTATTATTATTATTTACTATATTTTTTTAAAATATAAAAAAAAATTATGTACAACAACTATATGAATAAGAAATCAACACATATGATAGAAAACAATTTGGATTGAAATACTTTCATAATTCTCACAAAAAAAATCCATAAACGCCAATTTTAATGTTTGGCCAAACAATATAATAATCCAAACACAAAGAATATTAAGTTCGATCTCTAGCTTGGAAAAAGTAAGGAAAAACAAAAAAACTTCCAAATTTCAAAAAAGACAGCAATAACAGTAAAGAGCATTAATAATAACAGCGTATAGCAACAGCTACACAGCTAGCTACCCGAACATCAGAAGCAGTAACAGTTGCTGCCATCAGTAGTCTTTAGCAGCAACCAGCAACCAGCAGTAGCAGATAGTAGTGGAAGCTTCCAGCAGTAGCAGACATCAGTTGGTACCAGCAGTAACAGAGCAGTGGCAGCAAATCGAATGAGCAAGAGTCAGCAACATATCAGACAACAGTAGCAGTAGTAACAGTAAAAGACAGCAGCAAAACAGCGGTAGCATCAGCAAAACAACGGTAAAAGTAAGTAGAGTTCTTCTAGCATCATAAATTGCTATCCCGATTCTTCATCTTGATCCAATTGATCTTATGTGTGAAAGCATCATATATCAAACAACCAGAACAAAAATGAAATAACGCAATAATAAGAGTTGATGCTTTTTAAAAGATTATATATTAAACTATTAACCATTACCTCATTTCGCTCCTATTCATTAGAGTGTACAATCGGAATATGATCTGTAAGTTCTGGATTGGATGACACATTTTCAAGTGATCGAGTCAAAGTATCCAACACTTCCAGATGAATTTGCTTGAGTGTCTTCATTAATTCTGCTACAGTTTCTTTCACAATTTGGTCTTTATAGGGCTTTAAAAACTCATCGGGAATTATTGGTTTGTTGCTCTTTCCCCTTAGTGAACATATCCCTGGTTGCTTTTATTTTGTTCTATCTTTGTTTGTCTGGCTTCTATTTTGTTCTATCCTTGTTTGTCTAGCTTTCTCAAAATCTGCCATCTGGATCTTGCTTCTTACAAAGAACATACAAGAGAGTTAGTTGGCGAACATCAATGATGACAAACATGTTTTTGGAGTGTCAGACACCTAGCAGAGTATTTAATATATGCATCTAAGTAAAAGATATCATTATTCTCACTACACTTACAATAAATGACGCCGACTACGACACACACACTCCCCTTTGTAGATTTCAGTTCTGAAATTCAACTTGAATTCAGTTCTGAATTTCAGCTCTAATTTCAGTTCTGAAATTCAGCTCTGAATTCAGTTCTGAATTTCAGCTCTGAATTCAGTTCTGAATTTCAGCTCTGAATTCAGTTCTGAATTTCAGCTCTGAATTCAGTTCTGAATTTCAGCTCTGAATTCAGTTCTGAATTTCAGCTCTGAATTCAGTTATGGATTTCAGCTCTGAATTCAGTTATGGATTTCAGCTCTGATTTCAGTTCTGAATTTCAGCTCTGATTTCAGTTCTGGATTTCAGCTCTGAATTCAGTTCTGGATTTCAGTTCGGAATTTCAGCTCTGAATTTAGTTCGGAATTTCAGCTCTGATTTTAGTTCTGAATTCCATTATTCTTGTAGCTCAATATAAAAGACATAATGTTAAGGGGGGAAAGAAATGGTGATAGTGGTAGGAAATTGGCAGGCTCAAGGAGAAATGGCAGTCAAATGATAATGCATCAGGTCTGATTTGAAAGACAATTGACCATTGGAAGCATGCTCTAGCAATACACCATAATATCTTAACCTGAAATGAATATGTATGTTGTCCTAGAGAAGCAAGAATATTAGGCAAGTTCTAGATTATTAGCTACTAAGCCAACAATATTTTTCTAATCTGTATTAATCAGAGAGTCTTGAGTTATATACACAAAATAGGCAGATATTTGCATAAAAATAATAGATATAAAAAAAAAGTTATCATGGTAGAATCATAGTAGAAGGGGTACAAATAAGATTCAAAACTAGGATATACAAGCCAACCACCCTAAGATTCCAAGGCATTGATGTATTTTCTACATTGATTTCAATATAAGCCAAAAAAGAAAAAAAATGAAAGAGACAGGAACGAAGAAAGAGAACCTGACTGGAAATTCGAGTACCTTGAGCATAGAAAGAGAACCTTAGCACCTGACTGCACATAAAACAAAGTCTAGATTAATTTAGAAATTCCTAGTAGAAAGGGTATTGCAACAGTTAGCTAATTATAATTTGGGTCCTAATGAAAATAAGAATGACCCTATGAATATTCAACAACTCATGGGTATTTGACTGCCACTATAATATCAAACCTCAAATCAAACCAACTGCAAAATAGAGGTGCTATATCGCATAAAACTAAATTTAACCACTAACTTACAAAAAAAATAACACAAGTTCAAATAGAAATATAAAACACTACAATGATAGTTTGTCAAAATCACATAAGAAAACAATAAAAAATGAAAGCATTAACTTACCCCAAAAATCAGGAAGTCTAGGAAAATAGGTAGCCTTATCTGATCCTTGGACCCATTTTAGCTTTAGGGGAAGGGAACCTGGAATCAGCAATGATGCAGGAAGAATAGGTGGTTTAACACCAGGTCTCCACACTGCATAGGTTGGCCACTAATACCTTAATTCTCTCATCAATCAAACTTTGTGTTTGTTCGTTGCTCCTCAAATTGTTGATAGTATATCCATAAATTTTCATTAAGCGTGATAGTTGACAGAAATTCAAACTAGTGACTAACCCCTCCCCCAACTCTCTCTCACACACACACACACACACACACACACATACACACACATGAATGACAAAGTCTGAATCTTTTATGTAGATTTGGAACCTCTGTGACCTCCTGTAAAGTGCGCCTTTCAGCTTTGCTAGTTTTATTCGTTAATGGTTTGAAGGTCCCTTTCTGTCTTTATGATGAGACGCTTGTGCTTCTGATACATTTCCTCCCTTCTCTGCATCATTGTTTTCATTAAAAAAAGTACAGCATAGATCATGTTCACATATAAAAAGAGATACTTACTCTAGGCAATTCAAATTAAAAGTAAAATGATTCTATGAATGCAATGCAGTGTGAGAGAGGAAAAAAAAGACATATAAAATCCCACACAATAAAAGGCTACAAAATGCATATATTAAGTGCAAATCAACACAACAGCAATGACAGTAGCGTCTATATTGTAGCTTCTTGTTGGAGGAGGTATGAAATAGATGTACAAAGCCCGGAATTGGTCGAATAAACTTGTCCATTAATTAACTTATCTACTCGTATATGTCCTCATTTGAATTTATTTATCCGAACTTATCGGCCTTGAAATGAACTTAGTCAACTTACAATGTGAATAGAACATGGCCTTAACTTTCCATAAGCACCAACACCAACCCAATTGAAAAAATCAAGCCAATTTGAAACTCCACAACAGCTAAAATCCCAATAGCATAATTTCAAAAAACATAGTCAAGCTAATTTCAGCAATTTCACCATCAATCCATATTCTAACTAGTAGTATACATCTATATTATAGAAATTTACAGAAATTTCAAACATGAGATTGAATTGTACACATAATTAACTGACTACTTCAAGCTAAAATCACTAAAACTTCAGATTTCAGCAAATAACTAGCAATTGAAAGATAACCTAATTTAAGAAAATTGAGGATGAATTGTACACACTCTTACATAAATTAAAGCTAAAATCACTAAAACAAACATCATGAAAACCCTAAATTAGAAAAAAAAAAAAAAAAAAAAAAAAAAAAAGAGGGAGGGAAGTGAAAACTTATTGGTGGAAACGATTTTTCATTGAGAAGGAACAAAAATAGGAGGAATTGAGAGATTGGAGAAGAGTAAAGCGAAGAAGCAGAACGAGAATTGAGAGATTGGAGAAGAGTAAATCCATGACCCCAACATCAAATTTTTGCTTTTTGATGGGGTTTGAGGTTCCATTTCCAAATTATCATAATCTCAATTCCCCAATTTCTCATTTAATTTTCACAAAAAAAACCCCCACTAAATCATTAAAAATTAAACACAACCCAGAAAACAATTCGATTATTGAACCATAATCCATGAGATTATTTAATCAATCAAACAAAGGGTAATCCTTAATTTCATCGATTTTGCTCAAAACGCTGACTTTGAAACATATTAACTTAAATTAAGTATATAATATAGTAAAAATCAAAGTAAATTGTATGATCCACGAACCTGGTAGTAGCTAAGAGATCACCCCGTCTTTCGCTTTCAAAGAACAATCAAAGATCGAAGTAGATCTATGAAGTGGAAGTGACAACCCAACAGCCTTGTTTTGCACTCCATGGATTAAAGAATCTAAACTCATGCTGAGAGAACATTTTTGAGCGAGAATGAGAGGAGTAGATAGATTAGAATGAAAAATTAAAATAAAGGGCACCGATTAGTTTTTTCTACAATGGGATTAGAAGAAAAATATATTTAATTAGAAAATAAAAGGATTGAGTAACATCAAATTAAGTGTTACAACTAAATGATACCTAATATCAAAGTGTTACCATAAAGTGTTATATAATATTAATGTGTTACAAAAAATGTTACTTAATACAACAATGTTACAAAAGTGTTACGTAAAAATCAAACAATCCTAAAATTTTTAAAGTGTTACCCATGGCCCATGGGTGTTACTTAAGCCCAATTTTGTACTAGTGTAATAATATGTTTGATATTCCATATTACAGATGGACAAATTACTTAACTTCCTTTGATATTCCATTCGTTTTTCATTAGGACCGGTTCTAGGACCAATGAATTCTAACTCAATGTATTGACATAACTGCCTGAACATTCTAGTAGGCGATTCACTAGCTCTTAATGCAGTTTTGACTTCTTCATCTATTCATCGTACCAGTCTTTTACACAGCCATAAAGACTATGTTTGATATTGTAGACACCTAAAAATGTCTCCCCAAAACCAAACCCGATGATGAACAACCTTTCACCGCCATTATTGGTCGGGTTGAGTATTTAATCTTTGGAGTGCTTAAATCCATGTTTCCATTCAATGCATTTCATAAACCAATACATTTCCTATCTCATTTCCCTAAACCATAACTTGTTTTCCACTTTTCGTGTCCACATCGCAAAACCGAGAGAAACTAATTTTTTGGTATTTGTAGGGAATATTTCAAGCATTTCCCTAGCTTGAACCCCACTGTGATCATACACTAAAGTACGGTGGCGTCTAAAGGGAAAGAAGATAGAGCAAAAGAGTCACCAACAAGTTTTAGGAACTTGTAAACCGTTCACGAGGTGAAGGTTACACCCCTTAACGATTCAAGAGATCGTTAACTCCAATAGGTCTGGAACCATGACTGGTAGTTCGGGGATGAAGGTACAAATCCAACCTAAAAGAGGTTGAAACTGCCTTAATAATAGACCTCTACTTTATTCTTCTCGTATTCATGTGCGCTTTCTGACTAGCATGCAATCAATATGATTAACCCCAAACCAGTTTAATCTATGTTGGTTAAATATTAATGCACAAATAAAACTATTATTGGCGATCACTTGAATTATAATCATAATTAACCCTAAATAAGATTATTAATTATCTTATTAAGCGTGATTACAAGTACCAATTCCCTTTAAACATGCATAAAAGGTGAGATCAAGCAATAACAATAATAATCAGGCAACATAATAATCATAAATAATAAAATTATAATCATAACAATCATAATTAAAAATAATCATCATAACAATAATTATAACAATTATAATCATAAATCATCATAATAATATTAAAGATAATAATAGCAAGATCCTAGGCATGATACAAACAAGATTAATAACAAACCCTAGCATGTCACTAAACAATAAAGATCAAATATTTAGCCCTAACATGATACTAACATGAATATTAGGAAAGAATATAGGAAGCATCGCAGGAATCATAATAAGCATATTTGATATTATAACCTTTTCCCTAAACATGATACTAGGACGATCCAAACGCCCTAACATGACATTAGGAATTATAATAACAACCTAGACATGATTTCTATATCATAATAACAATGCAAACAATTAAAGAACTTACTTGGATGCCTCGTATCTCTTTCTAATAACAAAATACACACGTTAGTAACTTCAAGGAAAATAATAAACAAAAAATTAAATTAAATAATTAAAAGAGAGATTTGGGACCAAACCCTCAGAAATTAAACCTTTCACGTCTAGGGCTAAGGCAACTTCGAACAATGCTAGGTATGTCTAGTGCTAATGTATGAGAAATTTTGTTTGCAAAAGGCTAGTTTTAGAAAAGAGAGAGAGAATATCAAGAGATTCTTGATGAGAGTTGATTAAAATATTCATGAGAATTAGTGAATGAAAACGGAGTTTTTAGAAGGTTATTTATAGAGAAAATCAACCAAAAAGATAGAAAATCGAAATAGAGTTCTGACGCGCAAAACGAGGTTAGCGCCAGACGCTGACATTAGCGTCAGGCGCTAACGCTAGCGCCAGGCGCTAATGCTGGCGTTTGGCGCTGACTAAATTATTGACGCGTTTTCTAAAATCAGATAGAAATTTACCGTACAGGAGGATAAAATCGTATTTTCCTCAAAAACATTCTTTTATTCCGATTAAAACTCTAAAAGGTCAACAAAAGTCAATTTATCAATGCTAATTGAATTAGGAATGAAAAGAACCTTCTAGAAGAATCTAGAAGACTAAAACCATTCCTAATTGCATTAGGAATGCTAAATCCATATTAGGCCCTCCTCTAGATCATTGGGCCGCATATAAGGCTCAAACAAGGCCCAGTTTAGTATTTTGGTCATAACTTCCTCAATATTCATCGAAATTGGGCTTATAATATATCGTTGGAAAGCTCTTTTCAACCCCTATCCAACTACACTACTATTGGACCCATATCATGGACCAACCAAACTGGATTGACTTTTTTCTTAAAATAGGTTTTCAAAAACAGAAAGCAGCGAAAAGAAATTAAAACTATCCTCCACTAGACTTTCCACACTTTCACTTCATTCGATTATGATTCGACGTGAAAGGTACTCATCACCGGGTTTAGTTTTGGGGAGACAAAAATGGGTGTCTACAGTATTATAATTTTGATCCAATTATTATTTGGTTGGATAGGCCTTGAAATAAGCTTTCCAACCATATATCATAAGCCCAATTCCGAGCTATACGAAAAAGATATGAGTAAAACACTAAACTCGGCCAAAAACCGACACCCTTCTACTAAAGCGTCCATATCTTAAAATCTACAAATGATTTTGACCTGATTATAATTGGGTCGGAAAGTATACTTGATAATATTTCCAATGATGTATTAAATGCCTTATTCTGATTTACGAATCAAAAGTTATCACAATTTTAAAAACGCATAAAAAACTGGAATTGTCGCGCAAACAACATACCTGCCACATCACGAGAGATGTTAACGCGGCACGGGGCATGGTACCGTGACGGGGGATTTTTCACCATGTTAGAGTGCTTTCCCGTGTCTTTTCCGCATTTCTTTCCCACGCGCTTAAGAATTTGGACGTAAAACCTGCACCGTGTCAAGGGAAAAAGTGTCGCGTCACGGCATATTTTCTCGTGTCACGGTGCACATCCCGTGACAAGGGATTGCTCCGTGTTTTCTCCATGTAATCCCTAAACACGTTTTATCCTCTGTAGGTTTGTTTCTGTCCCGCGTCATACTAAATTAACCCGCGTCACACTAAAGTGTACCGTGTCACGATGCATTTTGCCGTGTCGTGGCATTAAATTCTAGGGCTTTTATCTTTTTAGGGTTCCGTGTGTTCCCTCTGATCATTTCCTCTACAAATAAGACCCTCCTTTCTACAATTCGGGGCATCAAATCCTTCTCTCTTTCTCTCTTTTACACCAAAAATCATTCTTCTTTCTCTCTCTCTCTCATATTCTAAGCCTTAAACCTATATTCCTAATTACACCATTCTTCCCTTAAGCACTCCAAGGAGTCCATACGACATCGAGGTTCCATCCTTGAACCAAGGCGTGAAAGGTACAAATAACTGAGGGTTTGGACCAAATCAAATCTACATTTATTTAATTTAATTTCCATTTGATTTATATTTTTTTGAAGTTACTAACAATTTATTCATGATGTAGAAATTTAAGGGAACACGCAGAATGTGTGTAATTAATTTAATTACTTATTTTATTTTAATATTGCTAGTATCATGATTAGGTTAATTTATATTTGATTTGACTAACGCTATTATTGTTAAATTGCTTCCAATATTAATGTTTATTCTATTATTATTTATTGATCACCATATTGCATGTTAAAGGGAATATGTAATTGAAAATCACGCCTAATAAGATAATTTGGACGACCGATTTAGGTTCCTTTTTAATCTTGTTGTTTAATAAAGTGATCACGATATATTATAATTATATGTTGCATTAATATTCAACCAATTTAGCTTAATAATAGTTTGGAGCGAATTGAATTTTTTGTTTGTATGCCTTTGAGATCGCAGGAATCACTTTTCACAATAAGAATCGAGTAGAGGCCAATACGGGCGAATGTGACTCCATGACTCACTTCGTACCATCATCCCCGATCCTCCTTTCGTGGTTCCGAACCATATGGGTTAGTAATGTCATGGATTATGAATGGGGTGTAACCTTCACGGGTCAATTGTTGTTGCCTATCGTTGTCCCTTATTCGTGGTTGCCTTTTATGATCCGTGAATGGTTTACAAGTTCCTTAAAAACTTGTTGGCGGCTCCCTACTTTCCTTGTCCCTAATCGTATATGTCAATTCCCACTTCCTATTAGTGCCAAGCATATTCACCATATGCTTAACGTAGGAGCACTTCGATCGACGCCTACAAATATAGTTTAAGAAATTTTCTGAAGTACCATTCAGTATTTAAATTAAGTACACTACTCATACTCTTTTTCCACTGATCTAAAACATCTTGTCTATCTCTTACACCGTCTAACTTAAGTTTATAACCAGTTTGACTTATAGGTTCTAGAGTCACATCTTCTTGTTTAGATATATGATTAGGCATAACCTTGACACTAAACCGGGTAGTCTTCCCTGGTATGTATCTTGGCCGTGTGCAACTTCCTTATCCTTGATACTAAGTCTTTGGATAACATTGTTTACGTTATTGTTTTCATTAATAATTTCCTCTCCAACATCATTATTACCAATTACTCTTTTACTCAGTTTATTTTCAATCTTTTGTCGAACAACTTCTATGGGTAGAAAGTCTAGATCATTTAACTTCATTAATCCCATTTGTTGATATTAATCTTCCTCTAAAATAACGTAATTATTTTCCTCTATTTCATTATCAGAAGTAATTCCTTTTGCAGAATTAAGTTCATGATTTTGTTAAGCTTACTAGGGTCTTCTTCTTTATTGAATAGGGCTTGTAATTCGTTAA